GCTAATTTTTTGATTTACTGTAGAGACAAGGTCTCGCCAAGCTGCCCAGGGTGGTCACGAACATGTGGGTTCAGGCAATCCTCTTGCCTCTGCGTCCCAAAGTGCTGAGATTACAGGTGTAAGCCACTGCGCTGGGCCTCGACAGAGATTCTAAACTCCTTCCTTCTCCTGGATTTTGAGAGGGGAAACAGAAAGATGTCTGAGCATGGTCAAGCACTTTGATATAGGAGAGGATTGTATATCGCACAACTCTAGGGCGTCATTCACAGTTTATTTATAGAGATAACACATTTTTTTTTTTTGGCTTATGACAGTGAAGTGTCTTGAGGAAATGGAGGCTTTCTCTAATTCCCACAATGTCCCCTTTGGGTGAGCTGTAGGGCAGCCTGCCTGACTCTTTTATGTCCAAGATGTTGTCTACAATGATGACATCCAATGACAATGTTTGTTTTTAAACTTGTGATAATGAGACATGGGCTTCTTTAATCACCAGATATTACAAAATGGCAAACATTAATATAGCCCCTTATTATAATTTATATAAGTTATCTTGTGGTGGTTGGGCATAGTGGCTCATGCCTGCAATCCCAGCACTTTGGGAGACAGAGGTGGAAGGAAGGCTTGAGCCCAGAAGTTCAAGACCAGGCTGGGCAACATAGTGAGACCTCATCTCTACAGAAAAAATAAAAATAAAAAAATATAAAAAATTAGCTAGTAGTCCCAGCTACTCCAGAGGCTAAGGCAGGAAGAACACTTTAGCTCAGGGGCTCAAGACTACGGTGAGCTGTGATTATGTCACTAACCTCCAGACTAGGCGACAGAGTGAGACTCCCAACTCAAAAAAATAAAATGAGCCGGGCTCGGTGGCTCAGCCTGTAATCCCACGCCTTTGGGCGGCTGAGGTGAGTGGATTGCCTGAGCCCGCGAGTTCAAGACCCGCCTGGGCAGTGAGACCTCATCTGTACAATAAGTCAAAAATCATCTGGGCATGGTAGCGCACGTCTGTAATTCTGGCTATGCGGCAGGCTGAGGCGGAAGGATCGTCGGAGCCCAGCAGGTCGAGGCTGCGGTGGCCGGGAGCGGCCACTGCACTCCAGTCTGGGCAACCGAGTGAGACTCCAACTCAAAAAAAAAAAAGAAAAAATGTTATCTTGTGGGACTGGAACATCAAAAGCCTTATTGTTTACTTAGTGACAATTTTCAAACCTGCTTATTTATAGAAAATGGATATGGAAAATGACCAAGAAAGCCCTGGCTTGTTTCCAAAGATCTCTGGAATACTGGGATTCCAGCTGTGAGCAACTGAATGAAACAGGGAATGCTGGAAGACCTACAAGTGAAACACATGATTTTCTTTTGAACACAGTGAGGTTTAAGTCCAGTGGTTAGCACATAGAGATGTCCAGAAGACACGTAAGATTGGAGCAGCGAAGAAGTAAGAGCTGGGCAGAATCTTTTTGCAACACACAGATGGGTGAGATCAGCTGGAAGAGCAAGTAGAACGAGAAGCAGAAAAGTGGGCCAAGGTTAGAACCCTGAGAGTCGCCTCCAGTGAGGAGGCAGGAGGTGGAGGAAGAACCAGGGAAAGAGGCTGTAGGAGAGCCGAGGGGGTCAACACCCTCACATGAGAACGGAAGGGTGTATAGGGTCAGGTGCAGTGGACAGATCTAGTGAAACCCAACAAAAAAGACATCATGTAATTCAGTGCATACCCAGAAGAAACTCACGACAGTTTAGAGGTCCTTGTGACCTGAATGAGATCAGTTTCAGTGGAATGTCGTGGGCAGAGCCAGATAGACACACTGTAATCTTGGCGCAGTCCCTGTGGTGCTGGTTTGGGTGAGCCCAGTGACCTTTCTCATCTCAAGTGTCCAGGAAAGCTTTGGAGGATCTAAGAGGATCTGGAGCCCAAATGGGGCTCTACACAAAGATGGAGATAACAGAATTAAGAAACTGGGAAGGCTGGGCGCAGTGACTCACGCCAGTAATCCCAACATTTTGGGAGGTGGAGGTGAGAAGATTGCCTGAGTCCAGGAATTAGAGACCAGCCTGCACAACTTGGCAAGTCCTCATCTCTACAATAAATCAAAAAATTAGCCAGGCGTGGTAGCACGCGCCTGTAGTTCCAGTTACTTGGAAGGGTGAGGCAGAAGGATTGACTGAGCCCAGCAGGTCAAGGCTGCGGTGGCTGTGAGTGTGCCACTGCACTCCAGCCTGGGCGACAGAGTGAGACTCTGACTCAAAAAACCAAAACAAAATCCAGGAAGATTAAATAAGTAGGAATCATGTAAACTTCCGTTTCTGAGTTTGTTTTTAAACAATAGACTGCTCAAATTCAAGATGGGAGAGATTTAGCTTGGCAACAATTGCTTAAAACAGATCCAGAGATTTTTGTTGATTATAAACTTAAAATGGGCCAAAAGTATGATGCCATTCCTGAAAAAGCTAGCACAGGCGTGGCCTTCGATAATAGAGCAAAGAAAGTGGAGACACAGAATACTACTTCTTTCTGGAAGTAGGGACAAGTAGGGAAGGAGGAACACAAAACAGCACTGCAAAGGAGGTAAGTTTATTAGAAAACTTTCAAAGATCAAAGAGATTTGCATATGTTTACAAGCTGAGGGGAGGCATCTATTAGAAAGGGATAGGGCGCGTTAGGGTTGGGGGGAAGAACATGGGAGAAGGGCTAATAAATGATACAAGAATCTGACCGGGCTGGGAGGAGTCAGTTTTGAACTGGGAAGGGGACACCGCATCCTTGGAAAGACTAGAAGGAAGGTTGAAAGGATGGGAGTGACTGCAGATATGCTGATATGTTTGGAAAGGAATTCAGGCACTCAGGAAGAACTTAGGCTGATGTTTTCAATTTGTTTGATGAAGTAATACCCAGCGGGACAAGCTCTGCTGTTTCTGAGACTGTGGAAAGAAAGCAAGAGGTTGGAAGACAGGTAGAAGGAAGAGTGCCTGAGAGAAAGGGGTTCTTGCTCTTTGAGGTGGGATCCAAAAACTGGCAAGGTTTTTAAAATTCAGTGTCTGTAAGGCCTACACTATATAAGGGGTTCGGAACCACTGGCTTTTCTCATCTGCTCAGGACCACAAGGTCAGAGTCAGTGTCAGGGCTGAGCCCTAGAATCACAGACTTTTCTTTTTTTCATAACCTGATGTGGAATTCTTAGACTTATACAGGAAACAAGTCTTTGAGAGACAAGCATTCGGGAAAAAAATTCTTATTCTTGCAATGCATACAACTTCCTGTTAAAATTGACGACTTTTGGCTCAGCATGGTGGCTGACGTCCATCATCTCAGCCCCTTGGGCGATCGCTTGAGGCAAGGCAACATAGCAAGACCTCATCTTTACGAAAAAATTTAAAAATGAGCTGGGCATGGTGGTGCGTGCCTGTAGTCACAGCTACTCAGGAGGCTGAGATGGAAGGATGACCTAGGTCGAGGAGGTAGAGGCTATCGTGAGCTGTGGTTGTGCCACTGCACCCCAGCCTGGGCGACACAGCGAGGCCCTTTCTCTAAAAGAAAGACAAATAAATCAGATTAATGACTTTGGAGGACTTGCCAAGCAGACAGTAGAATGCACCCAAACATCATAGCTGTAAAATACTGAAACGCAGACGAGTCTCACTGAGACGGCTCTTTATCAGACAATAATTAAAGTTACAGCAAACAATATTTCAATATAAAGTAGCAAGAGGCTGGGCTCGGTGGCTCAGCCTGTAATCCCAGCACTTTGGGAGGCCGAGGTGAGTGGATTGCCTGAGCCCGCGGGTTTGTGCCTGGGCAACTTGGTGAGACCTCATCTCTACAATAAATCAAGCATTAGCTGGGTGTGGTAGCGCGCGCCTGTCGTTCCAGCTCCTTGGAAGGCTGAGGCGGAAGGATCGCCGGAGCCCAGCAGCTCGAGGCTGCGGTGGCCGGAGCGGCCACACTGCACTCCAGTCTGGGCAACATAGTGAGACTCCAACTCAAAAAATAAATAAATAAAAAGAAAGAAAGAAAGAAAGAAAGAAAGTAGCAAGAATCATAGACTTTGGCCTGACGGAGAGTGCTATCACTGGCCATCCCCCGAGGGATGCCTCTCGAGGGGCAGGCATAGCACAAAAGAAATAAGCGACTGGGTCCTCAAAGCAGCACGGAGCGAAGAGATGGAAATCGGCGTCCAGGATGAAACGGGCAGTGCGAGGGGAGGTGCAACGTGCACCCCGGAGGTGGAAAACAACAAATCTGCCGGGCGCGGGGGCTCACGCCTATAATCCCAGCACGCTGGGAGGCTGCGGCAGGAGGATCGCTGGAGCCTGGGCAACACGGCGTCTCGTCCCTCCAAAGAATTAGCTGGGCGTGGTGGCGCGCACGCCAGCTCCTGCGGAGGCTGAGGCCGTGGGGAG